CCCGCCAATAGCACTTAAGCTTCCCAGCCCTACAAGCCAAGAACATATGCCCCAGTCGACACCACTGCTTGAGTACCGGTGGTACCATTTCCAGAGCTTGCGGCTGACCCAAGCTCATGTTCTGGCTCTGGCTCAGCAACAGGAGAAGGCAATGGAACATCCAGCGCCAATTTGATTCTCCAGTTGATAAACTCGTCTGAGATAATATCGCCATGTCCAGCTTCCTCAATTCGGAATACCTCAATTGCAGGCGATCGTTCCTTCCTCCGAATCCGCCAGACACCATCGCCTTTGATTGTCGCTCTTAGAACTGCACGATATTAGCATTACATCAAATTGTTGCGAACATCCGACAAACTTACAGTCAAGCAAACTCGCCGCAAAATTAATACACATGTTCCCATCCCAGGTCCCCTTCCCACGCCTCTTCACCGTACTAGGTATCGAAGCTGTATCCATTTCTTCAACTCTCTTCAGATAGCCATCCTGCGTCCGGAATCCCACGATGATTTTAGGCACACCGAGGAGGAAGGACTGTATCCAGAATTTCATGAGCTTCCGCTCCAGGTTCATGAGATCACCATCATGCCGGATTTCTGCTGAGGTTTTGAGTTCTACCCATTTGATAGGACCTCCATCCACGGGCTTAGAATCCCATACTACAATCAGTCAGTGTTGGCTGTTGTTATCCGAGGAGAATTTGTACGTACATGCGTCTACTTCACCACCAAGGATCATCGTCGTGCTTCCAATCCCCGTCGTTACAACAGAGCAATACTGTGCATGGTTGTTTACAATTTCGTTCTCTCGATTCTCGATATATTCTCTAGGAGTCTCGTCCCACGGCCGTGGTAATAGGCACAAAGTCTCGAATTTGTATCCTTGAAACCGTCAGTAAGTCAGAATCATGATCTCCATCCAAAACTCACCCCAAAAGCTCATCATATCCTGCGACGGCCTTCCTGGCTGAGAAAACTGCCGTGATTGCCGTGCCTGTGATTGTCGCTTGTACTCGTGATTTTCTTCGATGAAACTGCTTGATTCAGTACATTTCATTAAGGTTGTATCTGGAAGCATACATTGTACGCTTCACAATAAGTTGTTAGCTAGACTCGCAGATTGAGTTGGAATCAAGGAGTGCCCACTTGGAAGAGTGTCGCGTTCATCTCAAAGCTTCAAACTCGTTAGCTGTTGCCCACCTCTCAGATCAAAGACCCTCACCCATCTCTATCACTAAAAATCGCACCCATAATCTGCACACACCACATTCATTAGCCAACCATCTCCAAAATATCCGTCAATACCGCCCAAGAAAACATACCTTCGTCATCATGCCTCTCCACGTGATGACATCCGTCTCAACACGTTTATCTATCTCTTTCTCAAGTGCCATGATAGTCTTCAGAAGACTGTCCAGATGATCATCTGCGGCATCGTCGAGCTTCTCGAACGTGTCGAAGCCGCGAGAGAGGTCGGCCCCTATTGTGGGCGGGTAGTAGTATCGTATGGATGAGTCGTCGAGGCGGAATTGGTGCTTGTCATCGTACGAAAAGTAGGCTATTTCCTGAAGTGGAGTCAGTGTTGCTGCAAATTCGGAGATGAGATGTGAGTTAATGAAGGCAGGGACTTATGATGAGCCAAAACATGAGTTGCGACCACGCTGAACTCTGTGAAGAGAGAGACTGTATATCTCAAACGCAAAGATTGGGACGAAAGAAAAAGCAGGCTAAATGCCAAGGTACCCAAAGCCAATAAACAGATGCTCTCTGAAGCATCGGTGCTTCTCAGCCTCAACGGAATGTAAACACAACATACCTTCGGCCTCTTAATGGCAGCACTCTGCCCGACGAACCTGCCAATAGGCTGGATATCGAATGTTTTACTCATGCTTATTGACCTCGCTGTACACCATAATGAACCAGTCGATGTTGCGGCCCTTTTAAGAATTACCGGCATGCGGTTGATGTTTGATGGAAGCTCCAGCTTGCCTTTTTGAGAAGGATGCTTAGCGGTTTGCTTCAGGCTTCATGCACCCCACAATCGCCGAGCGAGCTAAGACGTAGAGGTAGTCTTTATGGACTCAATTTGGACACAGTGGACCGGAACTCATAATAATTAAGGATCATCATTTAAGAAAACTACTCCAGGTTAAAACACGTAATCATTTTGATGACATTATAACGGGCTGTTTTCTTGGACTTTCAAGGAATAGATGCACTTGAACTCACCCTCCCAGCAGCCGCTTGCTGAAACCCCCACCAACAAACCATAGCCTAGCCTCGCCTGAAGCCTCGCCAATACATACCAACAACAAACGACACTCTTTACCCTCTTCCAAACATCCCTTACCTCCCATCCTCACCAACAAACACCACCCTCCCTCCACCAATCCCCTCCCTACCGACACAATGCCCGAACGGCGCCACGCAACAACAACAACCTCCAGCTCCAGCGCCCGCAACCCACCAACAACCAGCACCACCTCCGTCCGGCGCAACCTCTTCCAACACCACCTCACCCGCCGACCAACCACCAGCTCAACCTCGACCTCAGTCTCGAAGTCCAATTCCGCCGAGACGCTCCGTCTAGACGTCGATCCCGAGTCCGACTCCTCGGATATCGTGATCAGGGATAAGAACGGGGAGTTTGAGATTGAGGATTTGCCTGTCGAGCAGTTTGATGAGCAGGAGGAGGGGGGTGGAGGGGAGACGGGGGAGGATGAGAGTGAGTTATGGTTCCTTGAATATGTGTTCTGTTATACAGGGTAGTGGCGGTGCTAATCTGTGTCTTTTGTGCAGAAGAACGCCAGAGATTAGCTGATGCGGTTCGACATCATCAGAGGGATAGGAATCGTGCTCCAAGTGAGCCAGCTGGTATTTCTTCGCTCGCGAGACCACATTGCCGAAATAGAAGCTGATTGTAGCAGAACTACTCGAAGCCGTACGGGCCAGTCTCCGTGCGAAGGTCAATGCATTGGCAGAGGATAACTGGATGTACGAGGCTGAAGATGATGCGCCTATTCGGTGATATACTGTGACACTATGATATGCTCCCTGCTCTCTCTCTTCTCGTTGGTCTGGTCTGGCATTGCATGGCATGGAACGGCGTTATATACCCAATGGTTGCATGATTTTGCTTCAGGCACACTGTCTATTCATACGCAAGATTGAAAATGCTCTATTCCCTCAATCTAAACCCTCAGCAGCAGGTGCAGAAGAAGCTCCCACACGCTTTGTCTGTTGCTTCGCAGGCGCAGCGCCCATCCCACCCCCAAACATGCTCCCCATCATGTCCATCAATGGATTTCCCTGTCTCGGCCTCGAAATTCCAAAATACATCTCCGCGACCGAGGTCAGCGCCTCGTCCCAGATCCCTGCCTCCTTGATATGTACCGCATATTTGCTCTTCAATTGCGTAAACAAGCCCGCACTCCCCTTCTGCACAGCCAGCAGCAACAAGCCGAGAAAGTTCAGCAATGGCAAGCTGGGGTAGATCCGCATATCCGAAGAATTGCTACTGACGTCCTGCACCGAAAGTCCTTTATTCGCCTCCGTCAACCTGCTTGTGAATAATCGTAGGGATTTCGTGGCATCGCGAACATTGCCTATGAGAAGGTAAGGGAACACTACACGTGCGGCGTACAGGGCTGCGGTGTGTGAGTCGTCTTGTGTGTACCATTCGTATTCCATCTTCGCGAAGACTTCTGGGGAGTCCTTTGTGCCGAGTGTAAGGTGTCGTTCTGCTTCGTAGGCTTCGTGTTCTTCGGCGTAGAGGGTACCTGCTACGTGGTGGAGTTCTGGTTCACCGGCTGGGTATTCGCCGCATTTTGCAGACCATCTGTATACCTAATTATCAGCTCAATTCTCCCTCCCTTCAAACTTTACTTCTTTCCCTTCTTGTGAACCGACTCCAACCCATTTTCCGTCGGAGAAGGCACAGAGAATCACTCACCCAATCATCTCACCAATAAACTTCTTCCTCGTCGGCTCCTCACTATCAAACAGCCTCAAAAGCGCCAACAGTTTCCCCTTACTCCCCGAATCCACCTTCAGCTCCGCCTGCCTATACACGTCGACCAGAAACAAGCTTAGATCTCCACCGCTACCACCCTGTCCGGCTTTCAGCAGCGACTGCGAGACATTGAACAGGATGTCGATTGCGGCGTCCCAGGAGGCAGACTTGGCGTATCTGGCGGCGACGACGCGGGTTTGCTGCTGCGCTTCGTAGTATTGGCCTTCGGTGATTCTAGGGAGGTGTTAGATGGCTTTTGCTTTGTTTGCCTTTCGTGGATGAAGCGAACGAGAGGGAATACGCACTTGCCCTGCAGGCGCACAATGATCTTCTCAATTTTGCCACTCATCTTGACGAGCTCCGCTGCGCGGACTGGGGTTGAAGCTGGTGTTGGTGGGATGTTGTGGTTGTGAAGTGGGCAGGGCAGGCTCGCGAGATTCCAATGTGGGTGACGAGGCTGATGAAGGTTCTAGGCGGAGGTTCCAGAGCTTCCGCCGGCAGGACGTAATCCCAGCCAAAAATGAGACCCAATATCAGGAAACAAATACGATTTTGAATTGTGTTACACTCAATTTTGAACTTTTCATTATTGTAAGTTACTTACAATTCGTGATGTCTCCTACAAAACCACAATGCCTGCCAAGAATGGATGGCCGTTTGGCGGGGTCATCCTATCTTCTGCCATGTCAATTCATACTCCCACCCTATATCAGAGAACAAAGGATTCACGCTCACCTCCTCATTGTTTTTCAAAACTCTTCGCTTACTTTTCCAAGCTCTATTTCTACCTCCGTCTCAAAATGGCAAGACCATTTCTTTCATCCTTCACTTCATAATCCTGTCACCTAGAGTCCCTGAACCTGCTAGCGCACCAGCGTGTCCATATCAAGAACCGGGCTGATTTTGAACCAGACTTTCTCCTCCTTTTATGTAATACTGTCGAGTATTTAAATAAGAGATTTTTAGTCATCTTTTCTTCGAATCAGACAGCACTCTTGGTTTAGTGGTAAAATCAGCGCTTCCCATTCCATCTCACTGTGATAGAATTACTGTGAAAGAATATGCGCTGGCCCCGGGTTCGATTCCCGGAGGGTGCAATACTTTTTGCTTTAGTTCCTTGTTTTGGCCTTCTCTGTCCCTATGTTCCTTGTCTTGAGAATTAGACCCGACAGTTGAGAATCGAACCAGACAGGAGCATTAATTTTTTCTTCTCTTTTTTGTGGCCTTCTTTGTCCTTGTGGTCTTACTCTTGACCTGAGAAGGAAATGCTCCTTGTAATTTTTCTTTTGCTTCTCTGTCTTCAGATTAATGGAAGTACTTCCGCTGAGAGAAGCGTGGTCGTAGTTCCACTTGATAGCAGGGTGAGTCGGGGTGGGACGCGCTCAAAGATAATGGGAAGCCAGGTTTAGTGTTAAAATCAGCGCTTCCCACTCCTTCTCACTGTCACAGAAGATGTACTGGTGCGTGCCCCTCCATGCTCCCCTCCATGCTAAGCGAGCCTCGCTTCTCACTCTGTTTACTTCATAGAATGTATTCAACTTCCTCCAGTCTTCTCATTTTCTTTTGAATAGTGGGAATTGCCCCTAGGAAACGTGGGAGCTCTGATGACTCCGCTCATCAGTGTGATAATAATTTATGTCGAGTCTCTTACTTACAAACTCAAATACTTGCATAAGTTGGGATGTGGAATTGTAGGCTTCATTTCGGCATCAATTGATGTCATTCAATCAGCTAGCCCTCAGTCGACTGTAGTTCTGTAGCTACAAGCTTTTTTGAGATATAATATGGTTGTCTGTGGAGAATATGATATGGTTGTCTTTGGAACTGTGATTGTCTCTTCCCTGAGGTTGTTTTTGCCCCTTTAAGCGAGTGCCAGCTCAAACAGCTCAGTGGCTCAAGTAAAATGAAGCACAGGTTTGTATGGGTTTGAGCTAGACAGATTTTGAGAAACTCCTCTTCTCAAAATATATTGCTCATAGAGAAAGGACCACTCAGACTTTGCCGTTGGAGGAAGGAGGCTTCCTATGGAGGCAGGTCTGGAGAGATGATCGAAGTGGTCTACCACCTCCATGTCGGCTATCTAATCGTTAAATTCACCATCTGCCATAGGTAACTTTCGATAATGGAGTGTAAAGAAGTTTATAATGGAACACAGCCGTAACAGCATTTCACATCAAGTAGGAAGTCTCGCAGTAAAAGGTACAACAGTTTTCACAAATCGAGCTCATCAGTGCAACGATAAACGTCTTTGATCTACAGTGTTAGCATAAACTCATTGATTGAATTCATTGACAACATCATGAATTCATTGCTTAGTCTCAAACGTTGATCGACCGCTCGTGTGATCGTAGAAACTCTTTTGTGACCCATTCACCATGCTAGATTTAGCTGTAAAGACTAGGCTGCTCAATGGTTTTTTTAAAAATCATGGAAGTCGGAGGAAGTAGAATTCCAGTACTTCCATGTGATTTCGGAGGTGCTTCCTCCAAGCAAGCCTGGGAGAATGGATAGACCTAAGCCCATCTCTTTGTATGTGAATTGCAATGGCATGCGCTAATACCCTCGCCCTCCCCACTCCCATCCCAAAAATGATCAGAGAAAATCGTCGAGTGAAATTTAAGGTAGACGACAACTTTCGATGACAGCAAGAGTAACATGGACGGTAAGTGATCGGAACGACAAGAACGCGGGCGTGGTTTGCATGTTTACCTGTAGACTGAACGTGACTCTTAAGCTGGCCACCTACGTGTAATCCTAATGAAATTGCTTGATATGGCTCAAGAAAGAGCTCAGGAGCTTTCAAAATCTTTCCAGCCATAACCCAATCCATCATACGCCCGCGAGCCGACCCGTGGCTGCAGCTCGTGAGGCATTTTTGAAGACAAAGAACTCCTCGTATCTAATTAGGTCGATGCCTTTGTCTGACGTATTTACGTCTATATATGATGTTTAGAGACTCTGGAAAGAGTTCCATCCATACAGTCCTTACCAACGAAAGGGGACAGATTACGGCGGATTGGCTACGATGACATTTCCAACACTGGCCTCGGCCAAGAGATTCCCCAATAGTACAAGAGTTCAATATCGTGTAAGTAGGTCGAATAACAGATCGAGACTTAGGTAGAAGTTGAGTTGTAACTGGCGCTCAATATCAAGAATTCGGACAGCAAAAAATTGACAGCAGAACCAGGATTGACCGAAGAATCGAAGCTGAAGGGAAAGAGACAGTAGATCGTGAATCGCAAAGGCTACAGCGTGACAATACACATCAAAGATGGGCGTATTGGTGAGAGAAAGAGCACTCCAGCCTCCTATCAGGCTTTGAAGAGGCACCGAGTCAGCTAAGGTCATTGAGAGAAGGGAGGATAGGAGACAACTGTCTGCTGAAAAATAGATGCCAAGAACGCAAGCAGCAGAGGGATGATTTTTGTACATTTCTACATTACATACTTCCATATATTTCTACAAATGATACAATAGTACAGATTTTCCCCATCCATAGTGTACATAGTCTGTGTCTAATTCTTTCCCTCGCCCTTCCCTTCCTCCTGTGTCCACAAACCAAAATCCTTCTCGGCCGTTTTCTTTCCATCCTTGACATTCAGCACCTTGACCGGCTGAGTCTTGTCTAATTCACTCTGCTGCTTTCTCCACTCTCTTCCCTTCTGATTCATATTCTTGATCCTCTGCAAGAATATACTATTAAAGGAGTCCTTGTTCAGATCAATCGTCTTGTGATTCGCACGCTCGCGACGCTCAAGACTCATTTTGTAGAGCGTAGCGACGCGTTCTGGGTTCTGGATCTCGGAAAGCGCGTGCTCGACCTCCCATTTGTCTGTGGACTTGAGCTTCCCGGGACGAGTTTGATACTCGCCGTTGATTTTGTTGCGGATTGTGAGGGTCATGGCTATCATATCCCTAATCGGGGCTTTCTTGTTGGGTTCAACTGGTGACCTACTTCCAGGTCCTGAGACCACTCGAGTGATTGGTAGGCTGTCTTCGTCGATGTAGTCGTCACTCTCTTCCGATTCAATTGTATCGGGGATTCCCTCGGCGGATACGACTTCGGAGTCTTCATCAAGATTCTTTGAATCAGCCTCAACACTCTCGTCAGCTTCAGCTGCTTCGTCTTCATCTGACTCTTCAACACCAGTAACGCCATATTCTTCGCCTTCTTCAGACTCTTCCAAATCCGTATGTTTTCCACCTTCCGAAGAACCTTTCTCGACCGACTCATCTACTTCACCTTCATGAGCATGGTGCTCCGCCACCCTCGTTGCGGAGATTATGTCCCGCAACTCTCGTTCTTCCTCAAGCAGTACATCTTCTTTCATTGCGTCTTCATTCTCTGCAATATCGCCACTTTCGTCTGCATTGTCCAAATCAGAGTCTAGGTCAGACGCATTGTCTGTCCTTGAAAGGGCGTCTCGGCCAGCTTCATCATCCCCAACGCTTTCTTCGACCCTGGCCCGGATTTTTGCCCATTCCTTTTCCTGGTCCTCCTCACTGTATTCCTTGCTGACCACGCCCAAGACTGCCTTTTCAAATTTCTCGATTTTAGCTTTGCTTGTCTTTTGAATATCCTCAATGGCCGTCTCTGTGAAAGGCTCGGCGAATATGTATGTGAAGGGAGTCTTTGCAGGTCTAGTCTCGATGACTATTCGGAGAGACTGTTCGGGGTATTTGGCTGTAGCACGATCCAGAACACGGTTGAGCAAATCCAGACTCAGCTTGAACTCCTGGTCTCCGAGTGTGGTATCGGTAGTCCCATGAAGAGCAAAATCCATCTCTGGAAGGCTGATGTATTGGAAGCCGAAAATCCTCGCAGTATTGTGGTAAGCAACGAAGATACCATCCATGCGGCCCATTCTGACTTGCAAAGAGTACTTCAAGAAGGCAGAGCGGATCATATCGTAGTATTCCCTCTCGAACGACTCCCATGCACCATGCTGACCCCGAATCTCATAGCCTCTTCCATCCTCGTAGGCGTCTGTATCCATTCGGACTGAGATCACAGCTCTTGTCTTCAAATCAAACATTCCAGTCCCGGGCAGACGCGAATCATAAGCATCTAGTTGTGACCTCAGGAGAAAGTCACCCATTCCGGTGTAATGAAATTCTTCTGATGCATTGCGCTCTTCTTCGGTTATCTGACCAGAGTTTGACTTTCTGTACTTCTCAAAGTCTTCGGTGGAAAGAGTGAGTAGTTTCTCCATGGACTTCCCCAGGCTCATCAGAACATTGGCGGAGTCGAATTGCTTATCTGCGTCGATTGCATATGCGCCATCCCTCCAGCGTAAAAAGATAGAGACCGGGCCGCGCTGTATGGCTGTGAAACTCTTGAACTCAGCAGGGAACATCTTTGACAAGTTGCTGACCGTTATATCTCGCCATTGAGACAGAAGAAAGTGGAAATGGGCGAGAGCGGAGGTCATGCTGGAAGTCGACCCTGTGTATTTCTTCTTCTCTGCGATAGCTTTGGATAGAAGGACTTTGTCCCGAGAAGAGGTAATATATTGCTTTAGCGCATTGAAGTCAAATTCGCTTACAGGCATGATTGTTTGCAAATACGGATCGAAATTGTAAACTCTCGATCGAGGGTCTTGTAGCTGGTATACACCTGGATTAAAAAGTACTCTCTCTAAGCCGTATGATAGCTTGGGTACTTGAAGCGGTCCACTATCAAGTGGAACTAGTTGGAGACTGTCGGCATCGACAGTCTTGATCTCGTGAGCGGTAGTACCTAACGGCGTGCTGACAGATCCAGGTCTCTTCCCAATAGAAAGTTTATTTTCGCCAACTGGAACGTCCGAACTACACTTCCGAATGGTCAACGGCTTCACCAGACGAGGGCGAGGCCCTGCCGTTCGGCCATGCGTTCGAAGCGCTATGAGCTTGCGTAACACAGGTAACCTCTCAGCTTCTGACAATTGATCACCCTGTAGCAATTTCTTGAGGCGTTTTTGCAAGAGTGCAGCCCCGGCGTTGTCTGGAACGTCCTTCAGTTTTGCACGAATTGTTGGATAATCGGCAAATAGCTTTGCTGTCATTTTGGTGAGGGGGTCTTTCTTCGATTTGGCATTCGCCCTCTTCACGC